TCGAAGAACCCCTATGACATAAGAAATACTTTCTGTAAAGCCGTGAAAAGTGGGTGGCTTATTCCACGATGAGTACCGTATCATCAACGTTTCTCAACTAGCCGCTACGATAGATATACCAATCAATAGAGAATTCCTTGCGTAATAGCCCTTGAAATTCTCTACAAAGCTAGCTACTCACATTATCCGGACTAGCCGGGTCAAAGCATTAACGGCAGCCATTAAATAAGACTTGTTCGAGCATTCCATAGTGCTTTTTGAAAGACGGTGGCGGTTCTGGTTGGTTCGTTAGTTAAAAGTAGAATAAAAGGAAAAACAAGAATTAGATGTTTCTGAGGAGAAATGCGTACACACTGAGCCGCAAACAGGAAGTCAACTTTTGGGGAGGATGTAGAAGATATTTAAAGCTACTTTTTGGAGTGTCAAAAAAAATTTGAATTTCCGCTGGAGGCAACGACAAGTTTTTGTTTTTCGGCAGGTGTCCTTAGTGACTTTAAATTTCTAAGAGACGATGCTGCACTTACCTGTTTGTGTTGGTGTAAGGTTAACAGGTCGCTTCTTACGTCTAGTGAATGCAACCAATGCTGGAATAAGAATTCGTAGAACAGTTGTGAGACCACCAATAAGTGCAACAATTGTTGTTATTATATAAATGACATCTACTTGTTTATTGTATGTATAAACACATTTATTAGGGTTACATTCATTGAAATAGGATTCAAATGATGTTTCATCATTCCACCGTTCAATCATTAGTTGTTCAATAATTGTTTGTATTTTTGTAGTCGGTAGATAGCGACTTGTATTTTGAGACCAAATCATCGGCGTGGCATTAAAACGGGCAGTTGAATTTGAATAAATTAATTTATTGAATGAATTGAAGCATGTTTGATTGTGAAAACATTCAAATGTAGAAGAAAATATTGTTTCAATCACATAACAATCTACACGAAAATTTGGTATAATAATTAAAGGTCTTCCCATGTCATAGAGACCGACTAATGCACCGCAAGTTGTAGGATCTATTTTACATGAACAATACATGCTAGAATTTGCTGTATCATTATAATAAAACTGTGGAAAAAGTAAGTCTGTAGTTGTAAATATCCAATTTGTTAACAGACCAGAATATAACTGATTGCTAGTGCTTGCTCCTCTAACAACGGATAGTGTTAGTAGAAATGTATTAATTGTTCTTTGTATGAAGAAAGCAACAGTTTGTTCACTCTGAGATTGAAATAAATCTTGCAGATATACATTTTTGGTGACATATTTTGTTGAATTAAATATTGATAATTCATTTTCAATAGTTTTCAGTGATAAATCACAGAATGAAGACAGTGTTTGGAAGATTAGCGGACCAACACCACGAACATCATTTTTATTCAATTCAGCTATTGACGTCAGTTGTAGATAGTTTATCCACTTTGTTGTTATGAAATCGGATTGACATATTTGATATTGAAGTTTTAAAATGAAGTTTTTAAGTAAATATTAGAGCTATTCGAGTTTATATAAACCGTCGAGGAGTTTGGTTTTGCGCAAGCGATTCTACTCTGCAAAGGAAATTTCAGACGTTGAGCTTGACTTCTTCTTTTTATGCGCAGCTGCTTTAGAGAAGAGAAAAGTGAACTGTTATGTATAAGAAGAGTAGTATTTTAAATCGGGCCATATTTTAATCTGTTTTTAGTGGTAAAGTCGGAGACTAGCAAAACTCCGTTCTGGAACTACCCGCTACGATAGATATAGCATTCGGTAGGGAATTCCTTGCGTTACTATTTCATATACATCTGATAGTGGTCCCGTCTCTTTGTAGAGAATTTCAACGGCTATATAGTGAATGTTTTGGAAGAATACAAAAGTTTTATTCTGACAGAAAAGCGAGTAACCGAATGTGGACAGCACCACTATCACATGTATATGAAATCGTAAAGCAAGGAATTCCCTACCGAATGCGATATCTATCGTAGCGGGTAGCTGCGAAACGTTGATCATAGGACACTCATCGTGGAATAAGCCATCCGCTCTTCACGGCTTTCCCAACCGCATTTCTAATGTCAAGTGGTCCTGGGACACTTTCGTCACTATGTTACTTACATGACATGGTGCCGTAAGCAACTCTCTATCGATTCGTGTACCTATCGTACTGCCTAGTTGAGAAACGTTGATCATAGGATACTCATCGTGAAATAAGCCACCCACTTTTCACGGCTTTGCAGAAAGTATTTCTTAAGTCATGGGGGTCCTGGCATACTTTAGTTACTTACAAATATATTTGAAATTGTAGCGCAAGGAATTCTCTAACGAATGCTATATC